GTGTGGGGGGGTGGGGATGGGGAATCAGGTGTGAAGGGGAGGGGTGAGGGCACGCACAGGCGGTGGGCCGTCCGGGGAAGCGTCTGCACGGCTTCATCCAGCACCTTGAGGCCTCCCTCCCAGTCGTCCTTGTCAGCATGACTGTGGAAGAGGAGGCCGTAGAGCGCCGCGCGGAGGGAGAGGTCATCTTCTGCCCCTGGGGACAGAGCAGGAGGGGTGGGGCTGGGCGGCCAGCTCCTTGCTAACTACCTGACGCTCTCTGACCTCTGAACTGCTGAGACCCCCCTGCAGTCTTGGATTTGAGCCTGCTACCCAAGAGGTGGAAGGCAGGCACTTGTCCTGCAGCACAGGCCAGGTGGCTCCCTGCCTGCAGCCTGTCTGACGGAACCGCCCCTGTTCCCAGGGCCCCTGGCACCCTCCTCCCCGCCAGCTCCAACAGGCCCTCAGGCATGGGGTAAAGGTCAGTAGGGGGGTGGGTGTCTGCTCCGGAAGTGCCGGGCACCAGTGCTCAGGTACCGCACGGATGACATCGCACACACTGCTGTCGCTTGGCATGCATCCTGGGTTGATGACACTGGGCAGCTCCAGCGGCTCTGTGCTCGGCTCCATGGTCTGCAGGAACCTGCCCTCTTAGCCCTGAACCCCCCACCCCCACACCTAGGCCCTGGCCTGGCTTCCCACACCACTATCGGCAGCACGCTCAGCAGCTCCCTGCTGTGCACACAGACACAGAAATCAGACGCCTTCTGAGGCAGAGAGGACAGACGCCGTCTGAGTTAGAAAGGACAGACGCCATCTGACTTAGAGAGGACAGACACTGTCTGAGGTAGAGAGGACAGACGCTGAGTCACACAGGACAGACGCTGTCTGGGGCACAGAGGTCAGACGCCGTCTGAGGGAGAGAGGACAGACTGGCTGAGCCAGGCTGTTCTCCCTTTTCAAGGATGTGCTCGGTGTGTCCTGCCTGTGATCCCTGCGGTGTGCTCGGTGTGTCCTGCCTGTGGTCCCTGCGGTGTGCTCGGTGTGTCATGCCTGGTCTGTGATCCCTGTGGGGTGCTCGGTGTGTCCTGTC